AGACCATGTGCTGGGTCGGATCCTTCTGGTGCATTTTCTGTTCAGAATGACTCTGACTTGAGTGGCAGTATTGGGACTGGCTGGGAACTATGAAGTATCATTCTTGTTTGACGGATAGGATTAGAGCAGACAGAACAAAAACGCATGAAGTTTTCCCCCAAGGGCTCCGTTTGTTAGTATCACTTTACTTGGCTGGTCTCTTAATGTTTCTGCTCTCTGTTTTTCCCATAAAATTTCCTGTAAACTCTGCCTGTCAAGCCAGCCGTCACTGCTTTCATTTTTAATATGCCAGTTGGTGCATTCTGCAAAACAAACCAGCCACTCTAAAATCTGATGCATGATTCGCGCTGTTGGCCCAAGAGGCTGGAACTGGGTTTTTAAGAGCAGTCAGTCCGCTGCGTGGGGAACACACAGAGCTGGCTGTTGGTGGAGTGGTCACGAGTGCCCGGTATGTCGTTATGAACCTCCAATATATCTCTCTGGTCACTGTCTCATAAGATCTGTCAAAGATAAGACCTCAAGGGCTTGTTTGTTTGTTGATGCAAAGGATAATTTTTGCAGAAAAGTCTGCTATCAGTATCTTTGCGTGCTACAAACACAGGCGTTAGTGATGCTTTTCCCTTTGCAGATGTGTGATGTCAGCCTGTTTCCTCTGGGTTCTCCCCCATCAGCTTCCTACCTGAACAGAAGGCACCGTCCGTGCCCCCACGAGTTAGACATGGGCACTGTTTTTATTTCCATAAGTTGCTGTATTTACTTATTCATTCATTCAGCCTCCAGGGATTAAGCGCAGGTGAACCTCAGAGAGTGTGGCTTCAGTTCCAGCCCGCTGCAAAAAAGTGACTCTCTCAATGAGTCACACAGTTTTTTAAATTTCCCAGTGCATATAAAAGTTATCTTTACCCTAGGCTGCCATCTATTAAGTATGCACAGCCTTATGTCTAAGAAAAAAAAAACAATGTACATACCTCAATTAAAAATATTTTATTGCTCAGAAATGCTAACCATCATTGGACCATGCAGGATTGCAGGAACCTTCAATTTGTAAAAAGCATAATATCTGTGAAGTGCAATAAAGCAAAGCACTGTATTTACTATGTCCCAGGCTCTGTTCTGGGCAGCAAAGTCAAGGTGTCCTCAACTCTCTTGAAGCTGACATTCAAGAGGGAAAAGTAATCAGTACAGTAGTCAGGGTGACTGCTGTAACAAAAAACCGCTGATTGGGTGGCTTTAAATATATCACGGTTCTAGAGGCTAGAAGTTCAAGATCAAAGTCTGGCTGATTTGGTTTTGGGTGAGGACTGTCTTCCTGGCTTTTAGATGGCTGATTTCTGACTGTGTCCTCACGTGGCCTTTCCTCCGTGTGAGCAGGTGGCCAGAGAAAGAGAGAACAGGTCCTCTGGTGTCTCTTCTTATAAGGACACTAATCCTATGAGAGCAGGGCCCCACCCTGATGAGCTCATTCAACCTCAACTTCCTCCTTAGAATGTCCATCTCCAAATACAGCCACCCTGGGAGTTAGGGCTTCCATATATGAATTTCAGAAGGACACAAACATTCTTTAAAGAAATGACTGCTTCAGATCGGGGTAAGAGGAATGAAATTAATAAATCAGAGGAAAGAAGTAGAGAACAATTGGGGTAGAGGAGGTGGTTGCCACTTGAGCTGCAGATCTCTCAAAAGAAGGGGAAATTTGAGTGAGACTAATTTTGAGAGAGAGGTCATGTTGGAGAGATTTGGAGACAACCATTTCTAGGTAGAAAGGATTGTATGTTTAGTGGCCTGAGAAGAGAGTGAGAAAGGCAGGCTCATTTGACAGAAGAAGGTCGGTGTGGTTGGATCCCAGTTGGCTTGGGCAAGAGGTAAGGCGTAGCCTGACTGAGCTAGCCAATCCTGGGAATTCAAGTTTTGTTCTCATTACAGTGGAAAGCCATCGGTGGGCATTAGGCTGGTGAATGTATGGCTGAGATGCAATTTAAGTGGCTGAATAGAGAAACTCAAAGGAATGTTTTAGTCTTACCCATCTTTGGTACACAGAGTAAATATTCAGTACATTAAAATTTTTTTTTCCTTTTCTGATTTTATTATGTAGAATTATTACAGTCCGACTGCACATACACATTATATTGCATGTGAATACATATCTACAGTATGCCACACATTTTTTTATTATTATATAT